CTTTTTTTAATGTTTATGACACTGACAATTTCTTGCACATATTCAAAGAGAATTCAAGGAATTGTTTTGATTGTAAATATGACTCTCCTTTATAATTCTTGTTTCATGATGACAAGGCAACTTTTATACACACTAGCTGAGGAAGTTGTGATACTGTGATTGCATAGAGAGGAAAAACAGGTTGGCAGCCGTACCTGTATGTGTAACATAGACCACATAAGATGAACTAAAGTCATGGGGCGTGGCTGACTGGAAGAACTACATCTGGCAAGGGTAAACATGTATACAGGCACATTTCTTTTCACTCCAATCAGAAGACTGAGACAAACAGAAAATGATAAGGACCTTTTCTGACTGGATATTCTGAAACCCATCAAATGATCAAGGATGTCAGATCCAAATCTGGTGATGATATGCATTTATGTTAAAAAAATATACACCACACTGACTGATACACGAAAACCTGTTGACCACTGTCCACAATGGTTCCTTCAGGGACATGAGGCTCACTGTCAGACATCCGAGCACACTGTAACAAACCTGGAAAGTCCTGCCAGACTAATTACCATATTATTTCATCGGTGATAACCCAGAACAAAAATACATGTATCAGGTAGGATATTTGCCATGTACTTTTCTCCAACAGAACTGCAAGAACTGTCAATATGCCCAATTCCTTTTTCAAAAGATAATATTTTCTTATAAACATATGGCTAACTCACCAGCTTATGTGCCGCCGTGGCTCTTGTGATTAAAGAAACCAAAAATTCAAGTACTGTTACAAGTAACTAATATATCATATTCCTATTACAATTATATTTTAGAATTGTTATATTTGGAAACAAACCACTTAATGCACAGGATTAATGTTCATATGAGTTAAGTATGTATATGTTAAGGATCTGATCAATTTATTCATTATTCTTGGAATACTAAATTTAAATGATGACATCAAATAGTTACGTATTAACATAATTGATGTTCAGAGTGAAAGATAATAATTGTAGAATAAAATATCATTAAACTAAAGATAATAACTGAAGTTTGATCAGTAACACTGTGCTGATGCATTGGCCAATATTTATCATTGTGGAAAAAAATAACTACTAAATATAAAAATATTATTTCAAATTTTAAACCTGTAAACAGCTGTAAATAATAAAACAATTACAAATCTATCATCAATACGCAATCATGGCAGTCTATATGTATGTAGCATTTTATTATTTATATATCCTATCATATTCAGCAACGCAGGTTGGTTTGGTTGGTTTGTTGTTCAACTATATGACGGCGGTCTGTAAATAATCGAGTCTGGACCAGACAATCCAGTGATAGATGAGCATGAGCATCAATCCACGCAATTGGGATCGATGACATGCATCAACCAAGTCAGCGAGCCTGACCAACCGATCCCGTTTGTCGCCTTTTACGACAAGCATAGTCACCTTTTACGGCAAGCATGGGTCAGCAACGCAGGAATGTTATTTTGAAACACGTTTTGTCAAGCCCATTTTCGAGCACCTGTTGTAGAGGGTGATCGTGCTGATCGACGATGTTTATAAACGCATTGCGTGGGATACCCTTATTATATTTGAAATTTATCAGCATGGACATCGCAGAAATATGATTCATGTCCATTTAAATTCACCGTTACATTGAATGGTGATTCTTAAATATCAACAAAAGTTCAAATAAAAGATTACCGAGAAACTTGCATGTTCATTTGTCGTCTACCGTTTCCGGGTCACGGGAGCATGCAAGGTCAAACGGCTAAAATAATACGCCAATTATAACATCAAAGTCACATTTTTATTTCATATTAGTGGTGATTACTGTTACTATGTATTGACTTATGTTTTTGCTGTATGTGATAGGCGAAATATTTCAAAATCTAATGTAATTGTTTTGGTACGAAAACTTATCAGCAGACTTCCCCTGTCTGTGACATCACATCCGGTGACCTTTGCACTTACTGAAATATCACTGTCAGAATTCACGATCTTTATTTTCGTCTTTCTCTCGTCATATTTATCGGAAAATGACGAATAAAACATTCTTCGGTTGAGAAGATCGTCAACTTGCGCCAAGGCATATTTATAAAGGCAATGTAAACTTTGTTGATATTGAAATAGCAATAAGGTATTCGGAGGTCTTGCGAAGCGCGCCATGTTTGATTATAGAACATCTGCTAGCATCATGACACGTGTCTTTTATTTTTGTATATCGTAAATATTCAACCAAAACGCTTGAATTTAAGATTAGTGAATATTTATTAGTCATTAATTGTTTCCTGCAAATTTCATAAAATGACACGTTAGATTAACCCAAATGTTCGTATTTCTGCAACCGACATGATGACCTCGAAAAATAAGTTATTTTTCCGTTTAACGTTTAGATAATAAATTTACTGAAATAGTTAATAATTTACCATCGCGCTGTTATTTGCCGATAAAAAAATCGAATTTATACTCAATTAAACTTAAGATATCGGAGTTATGATTATTGAAATGAATTTGCACAAATGGTACGATATAAAAAGGTTCCTAGCATGAAACGCAAACCACCTTCAATAATGCAATTCAGGTAAGTTCAAGAAAATTTACAAATTTTGTGTTCGCTTTGGTCTTAACCTTGGTATGATTGAAAACATCGGGATATTTTTATAAAGAACTGTGTAGTTTTCTATCAGGAATAAATGTGCAAAATATTTCTTTAATTTGACCTTGTTTAATGAGGCACCGACTGTTTGAAATCACCCACCCTCTTTAGAGCGCCTTATGCTAAAATTAATCCAACAGGCAGGGGTAGGAAGAGTGAAAACAATTCAGCAGCCTAAAAGGTAATGTAGGACATGTCATTGGTGATCGCCTCCATAATTCAGTGTATTTGTCTTGCATTTTTGCCACTTGTGACTTGAAGTTGCTGAATGCAGCTTCATCGTTTGGTTGCTGCATACCAGAAATTCACTTCTGCATAACCAAGAAAAAACATTCATGATCATGTTCTGTACATCATTCACAGAGCAACAACATAGAACGAAGACATCAAGTACATGCACAGTGTAAAATTACCATTGTCCAACACCAGTTTAATTTATCACTTGACTTAAAAATAATATTTTCATAATTTGATAAATAAGTATAGCACTGTGAACATTCATATGGAATACTAACAGCAGTTACTTTTTGCACAAACCTGAAATCACCTAGGACTAAGAGGTCTTTAATTGAATTATGCGTGTTTGAATTGTCACGTGTTTGAAACGTTTGTGGTACTGTATTCTAAAAGTAGGCCCAGATTGGAAACCATCAAACAATTGAATGCACTAAATGTACTTACACAGGCATATAGTAGCAGGTACGGGAACAAAGTACCTAGTTTGACTAGAGTTGTTGCTGGTGACGTTATGCTTCTGACGTATTTACGTGAGCTGTTTTTATACATTTGAGTTTTTCATTTAATAATTACAATGTATACACATGAAAGGCCAGTTGCCCCGCGGCTACGCAAGGGTAAACATTACTGTACCTGTAGGACAACAACCGGAACGTCCTTTCGTCATCGTCGCCAGTCTCCGACAGTGCAGGTCTACATACTCCCCTTTCCAGATCCTTTCGCGCAGATATTGTCTGACATGGGTGTCTGACCTCCTGAAGACGAGGCCGGTGGAAGGTATCCTATGTTATGCTGCTAAATAAAAACCGATTGTTGGAGATACCGAAAAAAAACCAAGAGCAGCGAAATGCGAGAAGAAAGTATAGTGACAACGTAACCAGTAACGATGTGACGTCACCTAAAGTAAATTGCGGGTGAATGATGTCATAGAGTAAATAAGGTGGAGGCGTGTAAACAGGAAATTATGAAAGCAGATGGTTGAGCGGATTTCAATACACGCATTTAGAGTACAGCACAAAGTAGATTACAGTTACTTGCCAACGTTTAAAAATGACAATCAAACAGTTTTCCGTAACAATATTCCATAGGGCACTTTTCTGTTACACCGGCAGTGCACGGGAGTCGTCTGCTCGGGAGACATGGCTGACAGTGGCTGACAGTAGCTGACATGTACGATCGATACCTGATTAAAAGTAAACTCCACTGCTTTCCTGACTGCTCCGTACGTTTACACAAGAGCTGTCCAGGTCTGTACTTCATGGCCCAGGAACAGATGACTATGTTATTATTGTATGGCCATACCAAGACAATGTGTTGTAAGCGCTCCAGTGTTGCAATACAGTTATTGTGTACAATTGGTTGGACATCAGTGCTGGTTGATTGTTAATGGTGAGACAGTTAATGAATAGGATCGTATGATTATCTACGTGTTTTATACTTTAAATATTGACACATGTGCTTTTAAAACTGCTGTCTCTTATTTTTTAAGGTGGACAGTATTCACTATCATTCCATCTGATTTTCTCAAAACAATCTGACTGTCCTCATATGCATGTTATTTGAAATCCGTTGGTAAAGCGATTATTAGGTTGGGATGAAGTCGTTCATGAAATGTTGATGAAAAGTCAGTTGTATATTGATCTTAGTTTTCTTGATAAATATATTAAAAGTCGGTATCAAAGGAAAGTAAATAAAAGCGGGGAGATGTTTCCTTTATTTTGGCTTGAATCGTTGTAGCTCAGCAATATTAACACACGCCCGTACGCATGTATGTGAAATAGCGCCCGTGTGGTCACACATTTAAAAACTGCCACTTCTGAACAACGACGTTCCTTAATGATGTAAACATTAAAACATGGCGTCCATTGGTACTTTTCTATGCAAATCAGGGTGAACGTTTTGAGCTTACAGAGCCAAAACAGATAGGTATCTTAAAAGTTAGCTCGTAACACTTTACTGAACATTCTGTAAAAGGTATAATCTAATATGGAATCACTTTGAACATTGATCACGAACCTCACATTTTCTTGAGGAGCAGTGTTGAATATATTGAATGCTGAAAGTACCCGAATACCTTGAAAACAAAGATGATGATCTTGCAGGGCAACAAGAGAACGACTTGAAACTCGTCCCACTAGATTTAGACCAGCAATCTGCAGGACGCCTGGAAATCTACCATAACGGCACTTGGGGAACAATATGTGATGACACCTTTGATAACAACGCTGCCACCGTGGTCTGTCATCAGCTGGGGTATACAGGGTAACAACTATTATTCTCTCTAATTTAAGAAGAGAGAGAGAGAGGGAGAGAGAGAGAGAGAGCAAAAGAGGGGGATGAGGCAGGGGGAGTGAGAGAGGGACAGATAATGTTGAAGCTCACAAAGAAGGAATTGCGTAATAAATCTTTTGTTGTGGACATTACAAAAACTGGAGCAAATTGAGCAAATCCTGCTCCTATGACAAGTCAGTAAAACAAGCATGGGTCTGTGACCTTTGGAAAATGGACAAACTTGAACATGCTATGGCCTGGTACATGTACTTACAGAAAATTAATCTAATAAAAGAAAAACATCTATGAAGTGTGACAGAGAGATTGTTGAAAATTGTTGAAGACTCCAGCCCCGGAAGGCCTAGAACTGGTATACAGAGATCACGATATGGTAAGTCCGACCGGCGTAGGACTGATCGTTATATTGCCAATTCAGTAGGCATTTCCCAGGAGAAGGTACATTCCTTTATCACAGAAACGTTGGCAGTGAAGAACGTAGCAGCTGGTTGTGTTCAAAAGCTTCGACATTTCATCCTAATTCGCACCAGGCACAACGTGTCTCGTGATCTTCTAGCTGTGTCTGAGGTTGATCCAGAATGTTTCGTGTAACAATTTGTGACTATGGATAAACCTGGGTTTACCACTTCTAGCCTGTGTCCAAACAACAATCAAAACAGTGGAAGCATTTGTCATAGCTACAACCGAAGGCAGGGACTGCCCCATCAGCTGGCAAGGTTATGGTCTCTGTGTTCTGGGATGCCGAGGCGTCATCATGGTGGACTATTTCCCAAAGACCAGACAATAATGGAGCATATCATGCAGCACTTGTGAGTCAATTACGGGAATGAAATTAAGACTAAGAGACATGTGTAGCCGAGAAAAGGTGTGCTCCTCTCAATCAGGACAATGCGTCATTGCACTAATCAGTCATTGTCATGGTTACAACAAACGAGTGTAGCTTTGAACTGCTTCAGAATCCACCGTATTCTCCTGATCCTGGCTCCGTCAGGCTTCCATCTTTTCACAAACATGAAAAACTCAAGCAGCTGTGGCAACCGTTTAGGAACGCCCACAGAAGGGTCTTCTACGAATCTGGGACAAAATCCCTCCAACATTGTTGGCAAAAGTGTATCAATGTGGAAGGGGATTATGTTCATGTTCATAATGTTAACATCTTTTAGTCACGTCTTTCTTTGTGAGGCTCAGAACTTATTAATCACCCTTCGTATATGCTCGTTACATATTCATGTAGTTTATCATAACCGAAAGAAATATAGTTCAGATTTCAGCTTTTAAGTTTTGCTGCCTATTAACTATCTCCTAACGTGTCCCCAGTTCTGTCTTTACACCCCATGGAGGATCTTACTATGGTCCAGGTGGAGGGGTCATTTGGCTGGATGACTTTAGCTGTACTGGAAGCGAGGCTAGGCTGACAGATTGCCTTCTCAAACCCTGGGCTGTCACCAGCTGTAACCACAACAACGACGCGGGAGTCGACTGTGATCCAGGTACATCTTTTTCACAGATGACTTTGAGTAATATCGTAGGCTGTGGGTATTTGAAGTCTTATTACCGTGTTTGTGTTTTGTAGACATGGACACAGACATACCTGTCCAGATAATAGGTGGCCCTTCAGGGCTGATGGGTCGTGTGGAGATCCAGCACCAGGGCCAGTGGGGTACGGTCTGTGACGACGAGTGGGATGACAAGGATGCTGCCGTCGTGTGCAGACAAAAGGGATTCTCCAAGTGAGTGTGAGGGCGGTCACAGCAGAACACGCATCTGCATTGTTTAGTCGGAGAAAAGAAGGACCTATCTTAATCTATCACTAGCACATGACATATACGTAAATATGTACATGTATTCAAGAAATAAACACAGTATATGAAGGAATGACGAATGAATAGAAATGTGTATGTGGCAATCTATTTCACAATAATTTGCTTTTCGTTTGTTTTTTCCATAAAAGATCGGCCGATCGCTTGGCGAAACTAATTTCATAAGGTCGTGGATAACCCGCCGCTACTTCCAGGTGTTCAGATAATACATGTGTCTTTTTAGTAGACTATATAGAAGTCAAACTTCATACGTTTGAAGTACATGTATACATTACATACATGTAGATGTAGAAGACTACAGAGTCTGTAGGCTTGGTTGTTACATGACGACATGCCAGATTAATATAAGAGGAAGTGTTACACGTGTGCATGGGTGTGGTACTGACAAAACAAGGCTGATAATCAAGGCGATTCTGGCGAGGATACAGCTGTTTTTGTTTAAGCAGGGGTGCACTTAAAATTTGAAATAAAAGAAGAATGCAAATAACTCATCCGGGAAATAGTTTGCGTTTGTTGGACATTATAATTGTTATTATTTGTTATTTTTATCGAAAATATGTCACCAAAGGATTTAATTCAACTCCACTCTGGATCTGCGTATGTGACACGCATAAACACTCTGCTCATCGAAATGTGCCTCCATAGACGACTTCAGAAACTACATGTATACAAGTAAAAACTATGATATTGCAACGCAAAGTTACCCGCGTTATCCTTTCATCTGTGCAGTGTATACGCTGTGCCACTGACCAACTCCTATTTCACCAACGGCTCGGGGGTTCCCAACCAGCCCATCTGGCTAGACGACGTACGGTGCACAGGGAGCGAGGCCGGCCTTGGAGCCTGCGGTCACAAGCCTTGGGGATCCAGCAAGTGCCACAACACTGAGAATGCAGGGGTCATCTGCCTTCCGATGCCATGTTAGCATTTACCCCATTCATTCCACTATCAGCTATCTAGTAGTCAGTGAGTATTGTTTTTCGCCGCTTTTAGCAATATTCCAGCAATATCACGGCGGGGGACACCAGAAATAGGCTTTGTACCCATGTCGGGAATCGAATCCGGACCTTCGGCCTGACGAGCGAACGCTTTAACCACTAGACTACCCCACCGCCCCAGGTATCTAGTATGTAGAGTCATAACATGGCATGCACAGTGTCCTTTCTTATTTTCTCGATGTATAGATGTAGCGTGCTTCTTGTGATAAATATTTGCCGCATGGCTGGTGGACGCATCTCGTACGGACGAAGGTACCTTGTCGATAGGCGTGTGATGGTCGTACCTTGTGTCTGTGAGATATTAATCAAATAAGGTTGATATGAGCATGTCTAAAATAGGCACGTGTGAAGGTCTAGCTGATGCATCCCACAATTATTGCACTATGCGTTGACGGTCACTATTTGTTTATCATGCCCTGGTGATTAGAATTCTTAAATTTAAACAAAAAACAACAAAAAGCGTGCTTCATTCCTGCCCTTCATTCGATACTAAATGTAAATGGCAGACTGTCTCCGTGTATACATGTCATATACGTTTCCTAGTCGTCAAGATGCGAGTGCATTCATATACTGGTAATTTCAGTTTTGTATCAGTTTGTAAAATATTGGTTGAATGTTATCTGCTTCAGCGAGTGGAATTGGGCTTAAAATACGACTGTCAGATGGCCTAGACCAATACGAGGGCCGCGTGGAGCTGCAGGTATACGGTCTGTGGGGCACTGTGTGCGACGACAGCTTCGACACAAGGGAAGCCAGTGTTGTCTGCAGAATGTTGGGATACACTTCGTAAGCAGTCGTCAGAAACATGCTGGCGTTCAGCCAAAACTATTGGCCTGATAATGTTCATCCAAAGAGTTATCGTAGTTCCACAGAATCTACAGTAGATGGCACTTGTATCAGATATAAAACACCAGCGAGATCGAGAGTGTGAGTTCACGTAGAGCTTGAAGGATCTTTGATATGAGGTATGGTCTAGATATATAGTATGTAATCTAACAGATGTGGGAAAGGATTTCATAATTATCAATCAATACTTTATTCAGTATAGAGGCATAAGCCCTTATACAAATATACTCTTTAAAAAAAGAAACGCAAAACGGATATGTTGGCCATAAAAGCGAAATTAGCGGACCAAGAGGTTCAAAAAGATGAGGTTTAAAGTGTTATAGTGTCAATGACCAATTTCCCGGATCAAAATGATCACAGCAAGGACATTCAAACCGTTTGTCGGGGAAAAACGTACAATTCGGAAAAAAACGTACCCAGTACATAAACAAAAGGGCCATGGAGCAGCAGCACTACGAACGGTATTAAAGTGCAGGGTTTTTGATTGCTTGGCATCTGCGTCAATCGAACAGTGACAGATCAACAAAAGGCCAAGATTAACAGAGGTGCAAAGAAACAACGTCACAGGCTGCTTGCAGGCAGGGGAATCCCGATCAGCTGTTGCCAGGGTTTTCAATGAAGCGCCCACCACCATCACAAGGCTATGGGATCGGTTTCAACATCATGGATCAACACGTGATCAGCCAAGGTCGGGACGAACAAGATCGCTACATCCGACTGCGCCACCTAGGACGACCACAACCGCATCCCAAATACCCGGACTGCGCAGAATCTCCGACCAGACCGTACGAAACCGTTTAAGAGCAAGACACCCTGTTCGACGCGACATAGTGAGTCGACAACATCGTCAACAACGATTGCATTGGTGTCGTCAACACAGGGTATGGCCTCAACTGCGATGGAGAGATGTCTGGTTCAGCGACGAATCAAGATTTCTCCTCCGTCGAGGGGTTGGAAGAGCCCGGGTCCACAGACGTTGAGGAGAACGTTACGCCGGAAACAGCGTACAGGAAGTCAACAAGTTTGGTGGAGGTAGCGTTATGATGTGGGCGGATATCTTTCATCATGGCATGACTGGTTAGCCCATATCCAGGGCAATCTTACGGCTCAACGATACCTCTTACTACACGTCCTCCCAATTGCAACCAACGGCCCTCCATATACCCGGATTTGAAGCCGAGAGAGCACCTGTGGGACGAATTAGATAGATGCTACGCTGACGTCAACCACAACCCCAGACGTTGGAGCAGTTGGCTTTTGCGTTGCGGGCGAGTGGGCTACCATTCCCAGGGATGTAATTCGCAATGTCGTCTCTTCCATGGGCAGGAGATGCCAGGTCGCCTTCGATTCCAACGGGGGACATACGCGTTATTGATGGTAGCTGACTTTCACCTTGTACTTTTCCATTGTACCAATAACTGAGATGACTACAATCACCAAGTGTTCTCTCCACACAAATCTGGCTTTGCGTTTCCTTTTTGAGGAGTGTAGGAATTACTCATTAATATAGTGGTAATAAACATAATTTCAAACATTGTTTAACAAATACTTTCTTCTTTCATATCGCATATGGCAGATATTAAATCCGAAATGCATCAAAAGTAGCAAATACAAGTAAATATGATATTCATCCTCTATACCTCGATCACATAAAGGACTTTTTCTCATGCCTTCGTCGATTTTTGGCCTCCTCATTTAATTATTTCTCAACCATAAAAGTCCCTCTCTTAACTTCACTAAAATGTTTTTAAAGCTTCAAGTTGCTAATTACATGAAGGTACTTTTCTGGTTCTAACAAACTTTTTAAATTCTGTGTAAAGGTTATGTCTTGAACTGTTAGTAGTAGTAGATATACAGTTTTGATAAACCATTAAGTATTATAAATAGCACAATCCTTTAACATCCTTATTAAACAAAGATTTTCTCCAACTGTTTGTGACAGACAAACAAAACCAAAACCATGACAAAATAGTATTATCCAATATGTGAAGCCCAATGTGTATATCCTACATTATCTAATGAAGTAAAATGTTGTACACTGTCTGGGGTAACCTCATTACATATCAGCCAGGAATATACAAATATTAACCTTTTGACCTCCAAGTGAAAGTTGTTGGTCATATACGAGTGGATTTGTGAAACATCGATCGTCCCGTTATCTTAAATGACAGTGAAATGATTTCGATGAGAAAGTATGTCAGTGGGCACAGAATGTGTCATGCTTTAGATTGAACATACTGTTCGGCAGACTATGTATAGACAGCACGTCTAATCATGTAGCACGGGGATTTCGTGGCCAATCGTGGGTTCGAATCCTAGATTCGATCTGAGGTTTAATCTATGGTTTAACACCACCGAATCCATAGTCAAAGGGGTAAACATATTACACCCCAGGCTTTCCTCCTGCATTTAGCTGTCACACCAAGATGAAACTGAAATAGTGCTAAAAGCGGCGTTAAACCAATCCCACTCACTCAGGCCTAGGCACTCTAACGTGTACCTAACGTCAGAAGTATCTTGGTATGTGTAATGTCACATCTTCACCTAAAGAAAATATTCTCTTAATTTTATTCTTTTAAATTGTCCTAGACTGCGGATTGTTACTGTGTGAAAATGTATATTAAGATATATTAATATGCATAAGTAATATTCACTGTCAGCACAACATACACAAACTTTCACCATGTAAGGTCAAATTACTGATTTTTTAAAACAGTTTTTGAATTTCACTGGTGTTTTCAGTGAATAACTACTTGTCACCAGAGGGTGACTTGGATTTGTATTGCTGATATGACGGTGTGATACTAAAAGATTACAATATTGCTTTTGAATAATAGTAGACCGGACAATAATTGTGTTTATTTGTTGCTAAACACCGCACTCAGCAATATTCCAGCTATATGACGACGGTAAATAATCGAATCTGGACCAGACAATCCAGTGATTGACATCATGAGCATCGTTCCACGCAAATGGGATATGATGACATGCATCAACCAAGTCAGCGAGCCTGACCACCCGATCCCGTCAGTCGTCTCTTACGACAAGCATATTCGCCTTTTATGGCAAGCATGGGTTTCTGAAGACCTATTCTATCCCGGATCGTCACGGGTTCCCATTATCTTGAGCTTTTTGTAAGATCTGTCTGATATAGGCTCTCTGTCATAAAGAATTGGTCTGGCTGAGTGTGTACATGTGTCATCGTACTTCGACGCTGTGACTCGGTGCTCATGCTGCCATCTGACCCAGCCTCAACCTGGTACAGCTGTGACGTAGCCGGAACATTGCTGGCTGCGGCGGAAAACAACATTCTTTCATTCACTCGCCAGATTGGTACGAGGTAGTGTTCGCAAATATGGAACAATAAATAATATCTTCTAACCGCTCAACCATGTTTAGTATTTAGTCGTTCACTAACTGTTTCTGTAGAGGAAGTGTGTTGGGCGGCGGCATGTACGCAGCAGGGAGCGGGCCAATCTGGTTGGATGACATCGTCTGTAATGGCACAGAAGCATCTGTAGACAATTGTACCCACCATCCCTGGGGCGTTAACGACTGTTCACATAAGGAAGATGTCGCTGTCAAGTGCCACCCCAGTGAGTACAAGGCTGACCAGTTATAAGTATTGGTGTCCCTGTTTCCGTGATTTCGTGAACACTTGAGGCCACCAAACACATTCCCACGATGCTTCAGGTGGCTATGCTTGCTGATAAATGCCGTGAAATAAGAGACAGATGTTTATTACTCATCCGTCAAGTGCTTTCCTGTTTAATGACAATACACCTTTATCAAACAGTGTTTAATAACATCACGTGCGGTCGAGACTATTTTTGGTTATCAGCTAGGCGTTGGAATGTAGGGCGCCAGTCGGAGGGGTGGCTGAATAGGTCTAAGCTCAACTATGATGAACTGCGTTTGATTGAGGAAGTATAATCATCCCCTAAAGGCATACCATGTTAGCCCTTTGTACTTTGTGACAGCACCGGAGCCAATTGTGTCCATTTTCATCAACCGAGAATAGCTAGCCAGCTGCCTGTTTGTGTATGTGTATGTGCTTCACAAGCAGCCTTCAAGCATTGAAAGTATTGAACTTAATACATGCAAACTGTAAAAATCAAACAAATAATGTTTTTATGTGTGTCCCCTTTCACATCCGAAGTCGGATTGTTGGGTTAAAACAGTCTTAAAATGAGGATTTCAGCCATCTCTCACACAGCGTGAATTCGAATATTCCAAACACACAAACCAAAGTGTCCCCGCCACAGCAGCCACAAACTTTCCCGAGCCGGGCGTCGGTACCCTGGTTCTATTTCTGTCACTGGCCACAGGAATGTGCTATTTTGGATCAACGACCGCTGCTGCCCTTCCTCTACTGTGGCCGTCACCTGCCCCTATCCCCAATCCGTCTACGCGTCAGGGTGCAATTGAACGTGACGGTATCGTATTGTGCAACCAACTCGGTTTTATGATGTGCAGTTGCTGCGGTCTGCAGTCGTTATTTAAACACATGAATTTTATTCCTCTTTGAAATTTTAGATAATCACACACCGTATTGGTAATAACATGAGACCATATTAAACTACCAAGTTTAGTGGTATTTTTTATTATGTATTTTGTTTCTTAAGGTAAGGGCAGAAGACAAGTGGGTGGAACAGCCCGTCAGTCAAGCCGGTTCGAGTATTTTTAATTTACGACGCCGCTTATTACAGATTTGATTTTCATCTCATCTCTATTAAAACACAAAATTAGTCTTAAATATAGTGACGGAATAGTTCTATTGCAAAGTTAAGTGATTGTGTCGCGTCTACACTTGAGTCAGTTGCTGAACTTACTTTGATACGAAATTTAACGTTAACGCTATGAGGCTGTGGATATGAATCAGGGCGAAGTTAGGTTGTTTTGTAACCCAATGATATGATTTTGTCTTGATATTCATTTTATATTTCATGATACATTTCAATGCTTTTTTTTTTACACCCATTGAGTTACATTCCAAAGTGATTGTTTTTTGTTCAGAATTGCTATTGCATTGTTGAAAGGAAACTGTATCAAGCAGAAGTGCAATAGATCCTGCAACTAAATAATGAACGTGTATGACTTAAGATATGTGATTGAAACATGCTAGAAGTCGTTTGAGATTTGTAATATCAAGAGGATATCAGAGGATTGTGATTTTATTACTTCAAGACTATGTACATAGTGTTATCTCAGATTAATTGAACATATTTTCGTCACACGTTATATAGCATTGATGTAATGTCTTCTTTATGACAGAGCAGAACACCACAGTGCAGGTCCGTCTGGCCGGTAAGACCCCAGAGGGTCGTGTGGAGGTGCTTCAAGGCAATGTGTGGGGGACTGTGTGTGACAATCACTGGGACTCGGCAGACGCTGCTGTGGTCTGCAGGATGCTCAAACTACCATTGTACGTACTTAAAGATGATACATCGATAGGGAGAGAATGATATCGATGTACATACCACGCGGTATATGATGTATGATCTAAGTAGCAATGAGACATGTCGAAGTGGAGTGGCTTGGCTCATATGCTCTGTTTCTGGATTTAGAATAACATACCTTAAGACAGAAATACCGATCGACATGTAACAAAACGAGGTTTGGTTAGTTGATAAGGCGAGTGCATTAAGAATTGTGAAATATGTGAGTCTGATGTGAAGGATGAGTTTGCTATGAGTACCTGATTAAATTACGTTAAATTTTTGGAGGTATGCAGCGTATGTCTGACAGGTGAGCTTGACGGTTGGAAGGGCATACACGGGCCAGCAACATTAAATAGCACTAGTGTTGTCATTCTGTATCTTTAGATGGAAGGGCATACAGCGGGCCAGCAACATTAAATAGCACTAGTGTTGTCATTCTGTATCTTTAGTTGGAAGGGCATACACCGGCCAGCAACATTAAATAGCACTAGTTTTGTCATTCTGTATCTTTAGTTGGAAGGGCATACACCGGCCAGCAACATTAAATAGCACTAGTGTTGTCATTCTGTATCTTTAGTTGGAAGGGCATACAGCGGCCAGCAACATTAAATGGCACTAGTGTTGTCATTCTGTATCTTTAGTTGGAAGCTCATACACCGGCCAGCAACAATAAATAGCACTAGTGTTGTCATTCTGTATCTTTAGTTGGAAGGGCATACAGCGGCCAGCAATATTAAATAGCACTAGTTTTGTCATTCTGTATCTTCAGTTGGAAGGGCATACAGCGGCCAGCAACATTAAATAGCACTAGTGTTGTCATTCTGTATCTTCAGTTGGAAGGGCATACAGCGGCCAGCAACATTAAATAGCACTAGTTTTGTCATTCTGTATCTTTAGTTGGAAGGGCATACAGCGGCCAGCAACATTAAATAGCACTAGTGTTGTCATTCTGTATCTTTAGTTGGAAGGACATACACCGGCCAGCAACATTAAATAGCACTAGTGTTGTCATTCTGTATCTTTAGTTGGAAGGGCATACAGCGGCCAGCAACATTAAATAGCACTAGTTTTGTCATTCTGTATCTTTAGTTGGAAGGGCATACAGCGGCCAGCAACATTAAATAGCACTAGTGTTGCCATTCTGTATCTTTAGTTGGAAGGGCATACAGCGGCCAGCAACATTAAATAGCACTAGTGTTGTCATTCTGTATCTTTAGTTGGAAGGGCATACACCGGCCAGCAACATTAAATAGCACTAGTTTTGTCATTCTGTATCTTTAGTTGGAAGGGCATACACCGGCCAGCAACATTAAATGGCACTAGTGTTGTCATTCTGTATCTTTAGTTGGAAGGGCATACACCGGCCAGCAACATTAAATGGCACTAGTGTTGTCATTCTGTATCTTTAGTTGGAAGGGCATACAGCGGCCAGCAACATTAAATGGCACTAGTTTTGTCATTCTGTATCTTTAGTTGGAAGGGCATACACCGGCCAGCAACAATAAATAGCACTAGTGTTGTCATTCTGTATCTTTAGTTGGAAGGGCATACAGCGGCCAGCAATATTAAATAGCACTAGTTTTGTCATTCTGTATCTTCAGTTGGAAGGGCATACACCGGCCAGCAACAATAAATAGCACTAGTGTTGTCATTCTGTATCTTTATTCAAGGAACCAAGATCAAAGTTAAATAAGACATGGCGGGTGCAAAATTTATTAAAATATAGCTCACTGAATAATGTCGCAAGTTGTGTTAAAGAATCAAATTGCAAACAGAAACACCTTTTGGAAAACAATTGAATGTATTTCTTCAAATTCAACAATTCTATTGATGCACTTTTTGGCATTCTAAGAAAGCGAGTAGGTGAGTTACTAAGTAAGTTGACGTTGTTTAATGTTCCCGTCATCACTCTCTCTAAGGGGTCTCCAATGGTCATCAGCTGTATGCAAATAGCACAGCAATCCATTCCACAATATATATGTGTATACTAAATGTGTAGAACAAAGGTCAAGAGTATGAGAACTCAAATATTTCCGGTGTCCACCACTAGCACCCCGTACTGTCTTGAACCTCATTGCTGGATCCTCCTGCCCAAAGACGAATATGAGATTACCGATCACACGTTGGGAAATGTTATCCGGTTTGGCTTGGTCTGTAGTCGCGGTTTAAAGGGCGAAGGCAGAACATGTACATTGTGCTTCCGTTGTTCTACCGAATGTAGTTGGCGGCAACGCGTTCACGGCGACGTCGGTTCACCCTGGCTTACCCATCAGTTTGATTCAGCATTTATCTTGACTTATCGCTGAAACCAATAGTTCTCCATCGCAGTTGACCAAACAACACCTTTCACACACTGTCGCGTTTCGGTACTGTAAGATATTCCTTGCAATCCTGGAATGGAAAAAAACACCTCATTACATACATTAATCCTGTTTTGTTTATTTCAAGGATAAACTGTTTATGGTTGAGAAAGTTTCTCTGCAGCCATTATAACATGCAGCCACTAGCCGACTCGTTTTACGTCTAAACACGAGGCTGTGTACTCACAGACAGATGACCACTGAGTACGTTGATCACTGTGTCAGATTTGTATTGGATATGCTCATTCAAGTTCTTATTATTATGCGCTTTTATTGATTTTTCAAAAGCCTTCGATAATGTGTGGAGAGTTGGGTTATGGCATAAAGTACTAACATATGGCATTAAGGGTAAATTCTTCCAGTTTGTTCCAAGTATGTATGCCAATATAAGTGTCTGCAAATGGTGTTGTAATAGATTATTTTCCATGTTACTCGGGCGCGTGGGAAAGAGAAAGTTTATCACCTCTTTTCTTTTGTCTCTTCATCAATGATCTCGAAAATTCCTTCTGAAAGACGGATGCACGAGTGCGAAAATTGGTGAAATTACATGTACATCTATGTATCTGTTTCTTAACCCTTCTGTATACTGATGACACTATCCTCTTTGCTAATTCTGGAACTGAACTCAAGAATACATTAGATTCTTTTAAAAGTTATTGGGGCGGTCGGGTAGCCTAGTGGTAGCTCGTCACGCCGCAAACCCGAGTTCGATTCTCGACATGGGTACAATGCGTGAAGCCCATTTCTTGTGTCTCCCGGCGTGATATTGCTGGAATGTTGCTAAAAGCGGCGTAAAACCGTAAATTAGACGTAAACCTGAAAAAAATTATCTTTGGAAGCGGGTCGTCCAAAACCGTAGGTTATCGTTTTATATGGATAATACGGAAATTGATATCGTAGACAATTATACGTACTTAGGTGTTATGTTTAGTAGAAACAGAAATTTCAAGCCAGCAATAAAATGTTTAGCGGAAAGTGCATCTAAGCCATGTTCTGTCTTCTCAAAAAGTCTAGAAATTATAATATTCCTTTCGATTGTGTACTGAAGGCTTTTGGTATAATGATATTTCCAATATTATTATATGGCTGTGAAATTTGGGCATACGGAAATATGAACATACATGTAATTGAAAAGACTCATTTAAAATTCCTTAAACTTGCCTGTGGTCTTAGAAATACAACCCCAAATGTCATGTTCTATGGAGAACTAGGTAGAATACCTTTATCGATTTATGCAGCTCAACGGGTAGTTAGTCTTTGGCATAAACTTTGTAAACCCGGACCTGCACCGAAACTATCGCAAATTATTTATAAGTTTGCTCATTTGCAATTTTTATGTAATAATGAACAGAATGCCTGGTTAAGAAATGTGAGGCAAATACTTAATAAGTGTGGTCTGTCCTATGTATTTTATGACCCACAAAGCGTTTCCAGCCAGTGGCTAACTGCTCAGACAGAAAACAATTTAAAAGATCAGTTTTTAGCAAAATTGGAGATCTGACGTCGAGAGAAGTTTAAAAGGGTATTATTATAAATATTTAAAAGATATCCCCATCATTTGAAAACGTTCTTCTCGTATCTAAACAAATGCATTATCCTATTGTGAAACATAGAACCTGTTACCATAATCTGCCCGTCGAAGTTGGCCGTTGGGTTGGTATTGAAAGTGAATTTAGGACATGTTAACTGCGTATGTCGCCAGCTATAGCCGATAAATTCAACTACCTGTTTAAATGTGAAGCTGTAGGGTTATCGGGTCTAAATAGCACTGATTTTATCGGTTCCTTTCGGATTAACGAATGTCACATTAACGACTTGACTGTAGAAACATACTTACATACATGCATGCATACATACATTTCAGATGTCTCAGTATGTTAAGTATCTAAACATTTATGTTTAATTTATTATTGATGAGTTCCCTCACAACATTGGACTATTCCAATACATTTCACCTTTTCGCCAACACCTGGTCTCATTACTATTTGACAGTGATTCATAAACACGTGCTCGTGATGTAGTCGGAATCATACAATCTACCATCGAATTCTAGATGGAGATAGAAAGGGTTTTGTCGCTTTATTTATACCCTATCCGTTCCCGTATTCAGAAGAATAATACATTATTGTTAACTGGATAAATTAGAATCTTTATTCTTTAAGCTGTTCTACCCCCACACACTAACACATTTCGATTATTTATATTAAGTTATTGTGTCGGTATATTGATTGTGCTCAGCATTTTATCTTTCACAGACAAGACCTAACATAAAGTGTTAATCGTGCTAATTCAAACCGTGAATGTTACGTCAGTATTGCCACTGTCGGGTTTTTTTTCGTATTAAGAAATTAAATTAAAACTAAATGTTTATAAGGTAGATAACGATAATACCGCCACAAATTGCATAATGCAAAACCACATTTACCGAAGGATATTGGCAGGATTGGGGTATCTTCATAGCCATTGCATAGGACCCGAAGCGCACATTAAGACTTTGTCTTTTAAATAAGGCATTTCCCGTATGTGTTTTTATCTACATTCTGTATGTACGTTATGGTGTAGCTAGCTCTCTGTATTGTCGCAAAAATATTTTTTTGTTACGGGTCAGAGCTTATATTGACTGCACTAAATGATTCACAAATCCCAGGAACGACGGTGGCATATTCAAGGTAGTTTATGAAATAGACACAGTTATGTCTTCTCCTCCGCTCCGATAAGTGATCCAGGAGGTCAGAACATATTCATTGTTAACACAGTATAGTTTGGCAAACCAACAATTCCACTAACTGGTGAACTGTTAAGTGTCCGGCCTTGATTCATGCGTGTTTGTAATAAAAAGTTCAGTTGGTAAATCTTGTTGTTTGTCTTATTCACAGTGGTAATGCTGTGCCCATTTCAAAAGCGGGTTACGGTCAGGGCACGGGACCAGTCGTGTTGGGTAATGTGGACTGCGTGGGCACTGAGGCAGATCTTGGATTGTGCAAGTTCCCAGGATGGACAGTTAACCAGTGTAATCATTCTCATGATGCGGGAGTCATTTGTCAGTCAGGTAAGTTTTGTTAAAGAAGAAAAAGTAAATTGTTCATAAGGCCAGGTCCCTGTTCCATTTTAGCGGCAAGACATTCGTTATTCCAATACTTTGAAAAGCGTTTGATTCAGTAAATCACCTTAAGCTATGGGAGTGTCTGCACGATGTAGGCTTTGGTGGAAAGATGATGAGAGCACTTAAGGGAATCTATGCCTCCGTGAAAGCGTGTGTGAGATGTAATGATAACATTTATATAGAATATTTTGATTGCTGTATATTAAACCCTCTATTATTTTCCTTTTGCATCAATGAACTGTCAAATGATGTTTCATCACATGGGTAACACGGCGTACAATTATTTCCAGACTTGTTTGAAATATTATTATTATTGTTTGCCGATGATGTTATTCTTGTCTCTGACACAGTCACTGGTTTACAGAACCAACTTAATATTCTTGAAAAGTTTGCAGATTCACATTGATTAACGGTTAAATTGGATAAAACGAGTGTTGTTGTATTTAGACGAGGAGGGCGGTTATCTGTTCATGAGAAATGGTTCTATAAAGGCAAACATGTTTCAACCGCCAACTCCTATAGATATCTTGGGTTTGTATTCTCATATACATCAAAGATGAACCAATGTGTTTCAGATCTAGCATCAAGGGATAAACGAGCTTTAATGGAAATATTTCGCAATCTATGGAAGATGGTTTTGTTGACACTTCAGTTTTCTTTAAAATATTTGATACTCAGATTCAACCTTTTCTTTTATATGGTGCGGAAATATGGGGTGTAGACAGATTTGAAAAAAAAGAACAAGTGCAATTATGGCTTGTAAGAAGTTTCTTAACGTTGGTTTGCAAACTCCAAATGCTATTGTGTATGGGGAATGCGGTCGGTACCCACTACATGTAAATGCTATGTGTCGTTCTGTAAAGTATTGGCTAAAAGTGATTGAAATTGACGAAGATAGGATACCAAGAAAATCTTATAATATGCTTGTATATAGCGACAAGTGTGGTCATCAGAACTATGCTTCTTCCATTCGTTCCATATTATTTTCTCACGGATTTGGAGTAGTTTGGCTCAGTCAAGCTGTTGGCGACAAACCATCATTCATGAATAGTTTTAAAAACGTTTTGATTAATATGTTCTACTAATCATGGAATAGTACTATCAAGGCTAGTTCTAGGTACATCCTGTTAAAAGAGTTTAAAAGTCGCCTGGAACCAGAAAAATACCTTTCCATTATTACTGAAATAAAGTATCGAAATGTTATGATAAGGCTTAGAGCCGGGCTACTAAGACTTAAGGTAAACGAAGGTAGATGGGCTGATATTGATTTACGTTTACGAGTCTGCCCCACATGTGAGACAAGTATAGAGAATGAATATCATTTTACTTTAGAATGTGAATATTACAACGATATTAGACAACTGTATTTACCAACAACTTTTTGCCATAATCCAAGTATGCATAAATTTAAAACGCTGCTTTCATCTTCATGTCAACAATTACTTGGAAAACTATGTAAATACTTGTATTCCAGCTTTGAAAGAAGACGTAATTATGAAAAGCCTGTAAATCTGTAAATTTGTACCTGACATTACCTTTTTTTCATGTACCACACTATTTCAAATGTATGTATTGTATATGGGCCAGTAAAAAAAAAGACTTCTAAGACTTATGTTTGTCGTACACAAACAGTAAACAGTAAACACACATATGATCACTTGTTGGAGGAAGGGGTGCAGGAGGAAACACACATTGCAGTCGGAGGGGGAACGGGGTGCAGGAGGAAACACACATTGCAGTTGGAGGGGGAACGGGGTGCAGGAGGAAACACACATTGCAGTTGGGGGGGGGGGGGCGCCGGAGGAAACACACATTGCAGTTGGAGGGGGAAAGGGGTGCAGGAGGAAACACACATTGCAGTTGGAGGGGGAACGGAGTGAGGAGGAAACACACATTGCAGTTGGAGGGGGAACGGGGTGCAGGAGGAAACACACATTGCAGTTGGAGGGGGAACGGGGTGCAGGAGGAAACACACATTGCAGTTGGAGGGGGAACGGGATGCATGAGGAAACACACATTGCAGTTAGAGGGGGGACGGGGTGCAGGAGGAAACACACATTGCAGTTGGAGGGGGAACGGGGTGCAGGAGGAAACACACATTGCAGTTAGAGGGGGAACGGGGTGCAGGAGGAAACACACATTGCAGTTGAAGGGGGAACGGGATGCAGGAGGAAACACACATTGCAGTTGGAGGGGGAACGGGGTGCAGGAGGAAACACACATTGCAGTCGGAGGGGGGACGGGGTGCAGGAGGAAACACACATTGCAGTCGGAGGGCGAACGGGGTGCAGGAGGAAACACACATTGCAGTTGGAGGGGGGACGGGGTGCAGGAGGAAACACACATTGCAGTCGGAGGGCGAACGGGGTGCAGGAGGAAACACACATTGCAGTTGGAGGGGGAACGGGGTGCAGGAGGAAACACACATTGCAGTTGGAGGGGGAACGGGGTGCAGGAGGAAACACACATTGCAGTTGGAGGGGGAAAGGGGCGCCGGAGGAAACACACATTGCAGTTGGAGGGGGAACGGGGTGCAGGAGGAAACACACATTGCAGTTGGAGGGGGAAAGGGGTGCGAAGGAAACACACATTGCAGTTGGGGGGGGGGGGGGGGGGGGCGCCGGAGGAAACACACATTGCAGTTGGAGGGGGAAAGGGGTGCAGGAGGAAACACACATTGCAGTTAGAGGGGGAACGGGGTGCAGGAGGAAACACACATTGCAGTTGGAGGGGGAACGGAGTGCAGGAGGAAACACATTGCAGTTGGAGGGGGAACGGGGTGCAGGAGGAAACACACATTGCAGTTGGAGGGGGAACGGGGTGCAGGAGGAAACACACATTGCAGTCGGAGGGCGAACGGGGTGCAGGAGGAAACACACATTGCAGTTGGAGGGGGAACGGGGTGCAGGAGGAAACACATATTGCAGTTGGAGGGGGAACGGGGTGCAGGAGGAAACACACATTTCAGTTGGAGGGGGAAAGGGGCGCCGTAGGAAACACACATTTCAGGTGGAGGGGGAAAGGGGCGCCGGAGGAAACACACATTTCAGTTGGAGGGGGAAAGGGGTGCAGGAGGAAACACACATTTCAGTTGGAGGGGGAACGGGGTGCAGGAGTAAACACACATTTCAGTTGGAGGGGGAAAGGGGCGCAGGAGGAAACACACGTAACTGAAACATTTTCAAATCATGCATTATTTAACGCCATGACATCTAGATAATTGAACCCAAAACTAAATGTAATCACATCATCGTGTGGCATAACGTTGGCTTCAAGATAAGTCAATAGCAGTAACATTTATACTTTCATTTGGAAATGCCACTTTGTTTACCATGTTATTATATTAACCCAAGAAACACTGGTTCTCGATCAGCGTGTCTTAATTGTATAAGGGCACAAGGGTATCCTCACCCCTCAGTATCTGTTGCAGCAACTGCCAACATGACAGCTGTCCGTCTGAATGGAGGAGCCAAGATGTCCGAGGGCCGAGTCGAAGTTCTCTACAACAGCACCTGGGGCACGGTGTGCGACGACAACTTCGGCGGAAATGAAGCTGCGGTAATCTGTCGGTCGCTAGGATACAATGCGTAACTACCACTTAGACATTTCTCACAACACATGTCAAGTGCTGTACTGAAGGGTACCGTTATGTAGATCCCCCATGTACGAACCAGTCTCGAGCATATTTACAGTTCATTAAACCAGTACTAAACTTGTCTGTTATTTTCTATTTTATGAGGTCGATCAACCAAACAATACATTATAACTCTAATGACTTGGAGAAAGACATCAGCTTCAGACTGGGCACAAATTACATCGTTTAGACCTGGACCGTAAATCAGCTCCAAAAGTTCCCTAGTTGGAGGGCTGAAGAGTGTATATAGTGACGTAGCGTCCGCCGCTACCCCGCTGTCATGTTAGTGGTCAGTTAGTTACTTATGTATTTAGGTCACCTACGGACACGCGAAAAAGTGATTACGCCGGTCAATATTTTATTGTACAGGTTAAGTTTTTAAAAAAGCAGCAAAGAGGGTTTTGGTGATCCTGGCTCGGTCAGGCTGGTCAGGCTCATCATGAGCTCAGGGCCCTTGCCCCCTCTACACGCAGCCCAGACAGGGACTTCTCCCAGGAAGCGCTGCCTAGTCAAACCCACCCAGAACTTTTCGGAGAATGTGAAGACTCCCCAACACTGCAGCATTCTGCATTACCCAGATTGTCAGAAGGGCTGTATTCCTGGTGGCAAACCCGGGTATTCTCCCAATGTCAGTCAACAGATTGAGGGAGTACCAAACCTAAGGCACCGAGAACATTGGGGAGTCGAACAGCTTGGTACTTGGGATGCAAGCGTGACATTTCGAAAGTGAGGTCTGCATATTTGACATGTTTTTACTCAATCTTGTCAATCACATTTATGTCAAAAGGGACAGAAAATATAATAATATAAATGATTTCATTGGATTTATCAAAAAGGACAAAATCAGGTTTGTTCGCCTGGATACGTCTGAGGCTGTATACGGGCCTATTCCAAAGAAATTTGTATTGAACATTTTCCATGACGCCCTCTACATATTCTGGTTGGTACCATGGATGGACCTCTGTGTCAAAACCACACGCATGGCGAAGACGGTAATAAAATGATCAAGCCACTGAATCATGTCGTTTAAGATACTGTGTTTGGGCCAAAGCTTGGGCATCCACTGACAATGTGTTGGACAGTCTCATTAAATTCATTCCATAATCTGGGGCGGTCGGGCAGTCTAGTGGTTAAAGCGTTCGCTCCTTACGCCGAAGGCCCGGGTTCGATTCCCGACATGAGTACAATGTGTGAAGCCCATTTCTGGTGCCCCCCGCCGTGATATTGCTGGAATATTGCTAAAAGGGGCGTAAAACCATACTCACTCACTCACTCATTACATAATCTACATTTCCTATTCATATTTTGATGCAAAATCACCCATTGACGGTTACGAGTTGGAAGTGACTGGTCCTGAGCAGCAAACAGAAAGCCTTCTGTTTCACTTTTCAGGCCAGCCGACCTCATCCAAGCGAAGGACTCTGCAGGGTTGCTGAACTTCTCAAACACTGCACAAAAACTCGATGCAGTGGTCGTTCAAATAGCCTTTCCTTGAAAAACTGAGTCAGGGCCGATTTGACATGGCACTTCATTTTGTTGAAACTCATTTCTGTACCTTCCAGTTATTATTATTATTATTATTATTATTATTATTATTATAATAAAAAGTGGTAGTAGTAGTAGTAGTAGTAGTAGTAGTAGTAGTAGTAGTAGACCGCCTCGGTGGTCTAGTGGTAGAGCGTCTGCCCGGAGAGCTGAAGGACGGGGGTTCGATCACCGGCCGCGTCATACCAAAATACGTTAAAAGATGGTACTTGTTGTAACCCTGGCACTCGGCATTAAGGGGCTTAAACAAGGACTGATCGTCTAGCCCGCACAAGCAGCCACACCCACACACACACACACACGTGCGTGCTAAGTGCATTAATCTTCATCGCGACGTTAAACCCCTTTTCATCTCACCAGTAGTAGTAGTCCTCTGACATGTGTTTAATTTTCCCCTGGGCGGACAGATCTGGATCTGTAGCAGTATCGCAAGCAGCATACGGCCCTGGCACGGGGCCAGTGTGGCTTGGTGATCTCCAGTGTCGGGGAACAGAGACGAACCTCAACCAGTGCGGGCACAGGGGCTGGGGACGATCGAACTGTCGACATAATGAAGATGCGTCAGTCATGTGCTCACGTGAGTTTAACTGCAATGAAAACTGGTCCCAATCCACACGTGTGACTCACGTAGTCCCTGTCAGACGCTATATACAGGTATATATATGGTATCTTAGACAATCTATCTTTGAACATCAATAAATTTGCTTTTTTGGCACAAATGTACAACATTTTACTCTTTATAAACTGTTACATGAATGCGTGATGGTCAAATAGGTATATAATCAAATTAACAACAGTTCTTTCAATGTGCAATAACATAAAAACAAACACGGTATACTTTCTTTTGCCCTTCAATTCATGTATATCATTTGTTATGGTGAGGTCCCGTGAAGAATTACAGCATATGTTTTTACGGATTGCAATTTTTAAAGGTCTGCCACATGAAGAATTACACAGAGCGCTAGATTCAAGTATGTGATATTGATTATCCTTATGTGGGTTTTATTGAGGTCTGCATTTGACATAACATATCTATTCAATAGCCACATCATCGTGTGTTTATGATCGTTTCCACGTGAGATATTGTTGATTGTTACAGATGGCTCCACAACAGGGGACAAGGTCACGGTACGGTTGGTTGGTGGTGATGTGAGTTCCGAGGGCCGGGTTGAGGTCCACTACAATGGGTCTTGGGGGACTGTTTGCGACGACTCTTGGAGCAATATGGACGCTCAGGTCGTCTGTCGGATGCTCGGACTTCCTGCGTTAGTATGATAGTAGTTGGAAAAGGTGCACACGTGTGAGCAAGCAGATTATAACACAACACGCTGACTTCCATATCACAATCTACGTGTATGTGTAAGAGTAATAGACACACACACACACACACACACACACACACACACAAACACACACACACACACACACACACACACACACACACACACACTACACACATCAAATTGGTTGGAAAGTGAATGCAAACAGACAGACCGATTATGTAATTTACGTCTCACTCATAACGCAACAGGTACTAAAACATGCATTTTATCTTTGATGCAGTTAAAACAGGCAATGTACAGTTAGCAAGTGTGTTAGACCCAGCTTCATTAAATTATCCCGGCTCTTGCATTCCAGGGGGCACGGGTGGCCCAGTCGTCTTGGGCGCCGCGATTCGCTGTGCAGAGTTGCGTCCCTTGGACATGCCAGAAACCTATGATTGTGGGTTCGAATCCCGCATCGCCCCGATTATGTTTCTAGGTTTGTCAGCACCATACCCGTGCTCGTGGGTTTCACCGAAGTGGTAAACGTCTGAGACCTGCATCACTTCGGGCTTTCCTCCCTCATTAAGCTGACACGCCGCGATATAACTGGAATACTCACTCACTCTTGCATTCCATTGTTTCTTTCTCTTTTGTGTATCTTCCTCATCTGCCCATATAAATATATATATATTGTTTAATATTCCCTTATTCATGTCATTAGGGCAGTGCATCCCATGTCTTCATTTATTGCCAGATTTGGTACACATTTTCAAACTTCAAGAAAAGATCTGATTGCCCTTTTACACATGCACATGTATTAATATCTAAAAATCAACGTGGCTTCTCGTGTTGATATGTAGCAGAATCACGTCATGCATGACGGCGCGACATACTGTACATTACTTTAATATATAATGAAAGAAATCAAGGAGTTATGTTTCTACGGAGATGTTCTATTTTATGTACATGGAATTATACATACACATTCGAAAAAGAAATAACAATGAATTTGTAATGGAGATATGGATCAATTAACATTTTGTTTCTTTAGGGATTGGGCAATGGCCAGGATCAAATCATTCTTTGGTCAAGGACGCCTTTCTACTTTACTTGACGATGTTAAGTGTGACGGGTCCGAGTTGTCTCTAGGAGAGTGCCCCCACTCCCCCTGGGGAGTGAACAACTGCAATCACGGGGAGGATGCCGGAGTGGTCTGTTTGGCAGGTAGGACCCTCACGCTGTTGCACACTGCATGGTTAACCAAATCAAATATGAATATATTAACATAGGAGTGACACTAATGTAATGGTAGGCCAGGAGTATCATGGTTGGATGATGTCCGATCTGAGGCTGTGCAGCTATTACGAGGCCGAAGGCATGTTTTATCATGTATTGAGTGATGAAATACTAAATCTGAAAAAAACCCAGATGTTTTACTCCGGTGAGATTGCACTTGAAGTCGGAACTACTTCAATCCTGTCTATTTGACATTAATTTAACACCATACGAATATTTAGAAAATACAAAATATATATAAATAATAGGTTTATCTAATTTCCTGATCTCGAAAGCCGCCTATGAAATTGTCCACTTGATGAGACAAACATGGTACATCTGACCAGAAAATCCAATATGTCAACAACCACTGATAAGTACTAGTATTTATCTTGAAAGCAGCATCAAACGTGACGGCCCGCCTTGTGAATGGAACGTCTACATCGAATGGTCGCGTGGAGGTGTTCTTCAACAACACATGGGGCACTGTGTGTGATGATAGGTTCGGGAACAAGGAAGCAGGAGTTGTCTGCCATATGTTAGGATTTGAGAGGTACGTGGAGTTACATACGCTTGTGTGATGTGCATATATACGACAGCGCGCATGACATACGGATGTACGCGTAGTTGGTCTGCTATAATGGGAAACACCTCATAGAGAGAACATAAGTAGGATGATCTGAACTGAACTATCGGTTGCTGATGATGTTTTGCTCCGTGAACGAAAAGTCAATGCCCATCTCCAGCAGCACATCATCCACAGACTGCCATGTCCAGCAATCAGGCCAAACTTTTCCCTGTTGAACACGTCTGGAACATGACAGGAAGACGTGGGCGTCAACATCATAGGCCGCCGATCACGTTGGCTGAACTTGGACGGGCGCTACAAGAGGAGTAGGACATACTTTATCATCAAATCGCCATTGGGAGACTCATACGCAGTATGCCTCTCCGAGTGATTGAATGTTTGATAAATCGTGGCGGTATTACGCACTACTGATCTAAGACGTCAACTTTGAAATTTCCCATCTTACCACTATCGTTCTTCAAGATTGTTAGCAGTCAAAACATCTACTGTCATGCTTCACTAATGTGTTCCCATTATATTCATTATTGTTATATAACTATTACCAGAATGTAATATCTCTTACACTTTGGGAAATTTTAAGTTGTTTCTGAGTATCCTCTACTCTTTTTGAAAGGTATATATACTCAAAACCATTCGACTGAATGACATTTACACATTTGAAGCGTTTTCGTGTAAAAGTGACATGGCAAGCTGTACCATCCTCTCTGGCCAGGACAACGTAGGTCCCGATCCACAAAAGCGTTCGTAGCGTTACGACATATCGCAAATACATGTATATACTTTTTCAAAGGCTTACAAATGTCATACCGCTTTCAACGATTTCCGGTTTGGAGCCCTGGTCCCCAGAAACAGCCAGAGTTGCTCCTGTCTTAATTATGGTTTGATATGTACCTTTCCACGTGGACTACTTTGACCACTATGGCTCATGTAGCGTGAAAAGAGAGAAGCCCATTTAACTCCACGCCTGGAGAGTTCAAGTTGCTAAGGTGACAGAACATTTTCATTATATGTTGACCAAGGACGTCTGCAACCCGCGGCCTTTGTTTAAGTGGACTTATACGGTTATGCACTTCTTCCATTTCTGGTGTGATAAAGTGTTAAAATGTAATATGGACTTAAGCTTGTATTTCAGGCTGGGCAGCATAGCGATTGGTAACGCCCACTTTGGACAAGGCTCTGGTGGTGTGCTGCTTGATAATGTTATGTGCGTTGGCACTGAGGACAATATTGCTCAATGTCTAAGCAACGGTTGGTACATCACGCACTGCCAACACAAAGACGATGTTAGTGTTCTCTGTAGTGAAGGTGAGTACATGTCGGCTGAGTGGGAGATTAATTCTCGATTACCAAGTTCAAAGCCTATTCTCAAAATGTCTATGTTTAGCGCTCATACATGAATTAACTGACTGACCGTCGAATGTGTATAGTGATTATGTCGAACAGAGTGTTGGCGTTGCACTTGATCAGTATCAATAGGTATACACCTAGTACAGGACACATGTAGCGATATTAACATGTACTATGAGAGGTGTGATCTGTCTACAGATGTTCCCAAACTGCGTCTTGCCGAAGGTCCAAATAAATTTCAAGGTCGTCTTGAGATGGAAGTGGCGGGTACATGGGGAACAATCTGTGATGACAACTTCTCGTACACCGCCGCAGCTGTTGTCTGCCGTCAGATGGGATTACCATTGTAAGTACTCTGTATACAGTTTACACATCTCACAAATATCCATCAGTTTCACTCAAACATATCCATCGGTCTTTTCCAGGTGCCTAATGTTCACTCTGCCCCAAATCCATCCGTCTGTTCCAGGTGCCTAGTGTTCACTCTCACCCATATCCATCCGTCTATTCCAGGTGCCTAGTGTTCACTCTCACCCATATCCATCCGTCTGTTCCAGGTGCCTAGTGTTCACTCTCACCCATATCCATCCGCCTGTTCCAGGTACCTAGTATTCACTCTCACCCATATCCATCCGTCTATTCCAGGTGCCTAGTGTTCACTCTCACCCATATCCATCCGTCTGTTCCAGGTGCCTAGTGTTCACTCTCACCCAAATCCATCCGTCTGTTCCTGGTACCTAGTGTTCACTCTCAACCCATATCCATTCGTCTGTTCCAGGTGACTAGTGTTCACTCTCACCCATATCCATCCGTCTGTTCCTGGTACCTAGTGTTCACTCTCACCCATATCCATCCGTCTGTTCCAGGTTCACTAGTGTTCACTCTCACCCATATCCATCCGTCTGTTCCAGGTACCTGGTGTTTACTCTCACCCATATCCATCCGTCTATTCCTGGTACCTAGTGTTTCACTCTCACCCATATCCATCCGTCTGTTCCTGGTACCTGGTGTTGTACTCTCACCCATATCCATCCGTCTGTTCCTGGTACCTGGTGTTCACTCTCACCCATATCCATCCGTCTGTTCCAGGTGCCTAGTGTTCACTCTCACCCATATCCATCCTGCCTGTTCCAGGTACCTAGTATTCACTCTCACCCATATCCATCCGTCTATTCCAGGTGCCTAGTGTTCACTCTCACCCATATCCATCCGTCTGTTCCAGGTACCTAGTGTTCACTCTCACCCATATCCATCCGTCTGTTCCAGGTTCCTAGTGTTCACTTCTCACCCATATCCATCCGTCTGTTCCAGGTGCCTAGTGTTCACTCTCACCCATATCCATCCGTCTGTTCCAGGTTCCTAGTGTTCACTCTCTCACCCATATCCATCCGTCTGTTCCAGGTGCCTAGTGTTCACTCTCACCCATATCCATCCGTCTGTTCCAGGTGCCTAGTGTTCACTCTCACCCATATCCATTCCGTCTGTTCCTGGTACCTAGTGTTCACTCTCACCCATATCCATCCGTCTGTTCCAGGTTCCTAGTGTTCACTCTCACCCATATCCATCCGTCTGTTCCAGGTACCTGGTGTTTACTCTCACCCATATCCATCCGTCTATTCCTGGTACCTAGTGTTCACTCTCACCCATATCCATCCGTCTGTTCCTGGTACCTAGTGTTCACTCTCACCCATATCCATCCGTCTGTTCCTGGTACCTGGTGTTTACTCTCACCCCATATCCATCCGTCTGTTCCAGGTACCTGGTGTTCACTCTCACCCATATCCATCCGTCTGTTCCTGGTACCTAGTGTTCACTCTCACCCATATCCATCCGTCTGTTCCAGATGCCTAGTGTTCACTCTCACCCATATCCATCCGTCTGTTCCTGGTACCTAGTGTTCACTCTCACACCATATCCATCCGTCTGTTCCTGGTACCTAGTGTTCATTCTCACCCAAATCCATCCGTCTGTTCCAGGTGCCTAGTGTTCACTCTCAACCCATATCCATCCGTCCTGTTCCAGATGCCTAGTGTTCACTCTCACCCATATCCATCCGTCTGTTCCAGATACCTAGTGTTCACTCTCTACCATATCCATCCGTCTGTTCCAGGTGCCTAGTGTTCACTCTCACCCATATCTATCCGTCTGTTCCAGGTACCTAGTGTTCACTCTCACCCTTATCCATCCGTCTGTTCCAGGTACCTTTGTGTTCACTCTCACCCATATCCATCCGTCTGTTCCAGGTACCTAGTGTTAACTCTCACCTATATCCATCCGTCTGTTCCTGGTACCTGGTGTTTACTCTCACCCATATCCATCCGTCTTTTCCTGGTACCTAGTGTTCACTCTCACCCATATCCATCTGTCTGTTCCAGGTGCCTAGTGTTCACTCTCACCTCATATCCATCTGTCTGTTCCAGGTGCCTAGTGTTCACTCTCACCCATATCCATCCGTCTGTTCCAGGTGCCTAGTGTTCACTCTCACCCATATCCATCTGTCTGTTCCAGGTGCCTAGTGTTCACTCTCACCCATATCCATCCGTCTATTCCAGGTGCCTAGTGTTCACTTCTCACCCATCCGTCTGTTCCGAGGCATGGGAATTAATTATATATAACAGTCTGTAAAAGTCCAAAGACCAAGTTTTCCACACTTGCCGAACTAGGCTGGAATTTTTGTGGCCTCAATCGTAGCGCCACCAGTACCTATTACGAGTTATGTCTCTTCAATGTCCCCCTTTTGACAATCAGATTCCACTTTTCATATCATCGGTAATCAAGATCTATCGCATTATGTAATAAAACGTGTTTTAGAGCGCGAGTACCTTGATTTTTTTGCGCGCCAACATTATTGCACGGACAACCAATCAGTGTTTTTCTTGATTAGTCCAATTTCACAGAAATAATTTGGTATTGAATTAACATTTCATACGTTTTCGTGATATTAAATCCTTGAATTTTCCATAAATCCAATTGTTCCTTTTTGTGATATCACCCAAGTGAGTGAGTGAGTGAGGTTTTACGCCGCTTTTAGCAATATTCCAGCAATATCACGGCAGGGGACACCAGACAATGGGCTTCACACATTGTACCAATGTCGAGACTCGAACCCGGGTCTTCGGCAGTGACGAGCTAACGCTTTAACTACTAGGCTACCCGACCGCCCCTGATATCACCCGAAACTGCTGAATTTGTCAATATAATCACAGAAATATAGCATTTAATTATGATTTTTAGAATTGGATACATTTTATCCATGCCTCTCATAGTAGTGACTTACTCTCAAGTGTGCAATACTCTCTCTCCAGGTTGTGTCCTGAATATATGTTCCCTACCAGCTTTAGTATCATCAGCTCGGTCTGGTGTAATGAATCACCCTTGATGACATGAATGTTTCAGAGGTCGTTTACTAAGAAGATAAACATAGTGTCTTGTCTATGGAGAGCAATATATTACCTGTATAAGGCGCAGAACTGAATTTGGAACCGTACAACGGTAATTCTTTGGAAATGTCCAAAAAGGCACTGGTTGCGTTCAATGTTTTGAGTACGTCGCCTGTATGAAATAAGAAACAGTGACAAAAGCCTTAAAACAAAGTATGTCACTTAATAATATACACTAACTGTTTTTACATCCATATGGTTTACTCGTGTGTATGATGCGTTGAAAGTGCGTGGCATATTTTCTCATTGTAAGCAAACACTAAGTGGCCACTTGGGGGACCGACTATTGAAATTCGGGCATGGGAGTTGCCTGACTGCAGCAAAAACAGAGTTGGATTCCGTTTTCCAGAAACCTTTCGGAAACCTTCCATACACCTTCCCATCTTCCTTTTACTCTGTCATCGATACCTCCCGGAAACCTTCCATACACCTTCCCATCTTCCTTTTACTCTGTCATCGATACCTCCCGGAAAACCTTCGCATACACCTTCCCATCTTCCTTTTACTCTGTCATCGATACCTCCCGGAAACCTTCCATACACCTTCCCATCTTCCTTTTACTCTGTCATCGGATACCTCCCGGAAACCTCCCATACACCTTCCCATCTTCCTTTTACTCTGTCATCGATACCTCCCGGAAACCTTCCATACACTTCCCATCTTCCTTTTACTCTGTCATCGATACCTCCCGGAAACCTTCCATACACCTTCCCATCTTCCTTTTACTCTGTCATCGATACCTCCCGGAAACCTCCCATACACCTTCCCATCTTCCTTTTACTCTGTCATCGATACCTCCCGGAAACCTTCCATACACCTTCCCATCTTCCTTTTACTCTGTCATCGATACCTCCCGGAAACCTCCCATACACCTTCCCATCTTCCTTTTACTCTGTCATCGATACCTCCCGGAAACCTTCCATACACCTTCCCATCTTCCTTTTACTCTGTCATCGATACCTCCTCGGAAACCTTCCATACACCTTCCCATCTTCCTTTTACTCTGTCATCGATACCTCCCGGAAACCTCCCATACACCTTCCCATCTTCCTTTTACTCTGTCATCGATACCTCCCGGAAACCTTCCATACACCTTCCCATCTTCCTTTTACTCTGTCATCGATACCTCCCGGAAACCTCCCATACGCCTTCCCATCTTCCTTTTACTCTGTCATTGATACCTCCCGGAAACCTCCCATAGCTCCTTCCCATCTTCCTTTTACTCTGTCATCGATACCTCCCGGAAACCTCCCATACGCCTTCCCATCTTCCTTTACTCTGTCATCGATACCTCCCGGAAAACCTCCCATACGCCTTCCCATCTTCCTTTTACTCTGTCATCGATACCATCCCGGAAACCTTCCATACGCCTTCCCATCTTCCTTTTACTCTGTCATCGATACCTCCCTGAAACCTCCCATACACCTTCCCATCTTCCTTTTACTCTGTCATCGATACCTCCCGGAAACCTTCCATACACCTTCCCATCTTCCTTTTACTCTGTCATCGATACCTCCCGGAAACCTTCCATACACCTTCCCATCTTCCTTTTACTCTGTCATCGATACCTCCCGGAACCTTCCATACACCTTCCCATCTTCCTTTTACTCTGTCATCGATACCTCCCGGAAACCTTCCATACACCTTCCCATCTTCCTTTTTACTCTGTCATCGATACCTCCCGGAAACCTCCCATACACCTTCCCATCTTCCTTTACTCTGTCATCGATACCTCCCTGAAACCTACCATACACCTTCCCATCTTCTCTTTACTCTGTCATCGATACCTCCCGGAAACCTTCCATACACCTTCCATCTTCCTTTTACTCTGTCATCGATACCCTCCCGGAAACCTCCCATACACCTTCCCATCTTCCTTTTACTCTGTCATCGATACCTTCCCGGAAACCTCCCATACACCTTCAAATCTTCCTTTACTCTG